TCACCCGCCTCGGTGGTCACCCTGCCTCGGTGGGTCACCCTGCCTCGGTGGGTCACCCTGCCTCGGTGGGTCACCCTGCCTCGGTGGGTCACCCTGCCTCGGTGGGTCACCCTGCCTCGGTGGGTCACCCTGCCTCGGTGGGAGACGGCCAACTTGTTGAAAAAAAAAATAATAATAATAATATGAAAATCATTACCTGGAACAATAATAAAAAACACCGAGTATTAAGAGAGGCGCTGCATGACCCTTGTAGGTTTAACACTTTATTTGATTATAATAACATGGTGTAAACTGATTACATCATTATATTAATTTTTGTGAATTACTGGGCAGCGCTACAATGTCCCTTGTAGGTTTACCACTTCGTTTTGATTATAATGTATGACCCTAGTGGGTTTAGCGCTTTTGATTATAAATTAAGTTCCCCTCAAGGAAGGTTCCTTGATGTTGGTGAGGGGCTCTTGATTTAGGGAATTGGATCTATGCTCCAGTTCCCCGAATTAAGCCTGAATGCCTTCCACATCCCCCCCCCAGGCGCTGTATAATCCTCCGGGTTTAGTGCTTCCCCCTTGATTATAATAATAATATAAATTAAGTTGTAGATGTCAGTAAATGCCTGAATCAAGTTTATCCCTGGACACAACACCAAGACTTCCACACTGTGATAGTTCCGCACTCTATAACACTTGTAGGTTTAGAGCTTCTTTTTATTATAATATGTGACGGGTCGAGAAAAAGCAGCTCTCAATGTTGAGGCATCGCTGTGTCACCCTTGTGGATTTACTGCTTAGTTTCAATTATTTTTTATATTTTAACACTGGCCGTCTCCCACCAGGGCCGGTGACCCAAAAAAAAAACAGTTTTTCTTTTCATTTAGCACTGTGACCCTGACGGGTTTAGTGCTTAATTATGATTATAATATTTTTATTGTAATAATAATCTTACTGGTGATGAAATTCGAGGTTGGCTGAGCTCTGAGCTACCTGGCGGTTAACCCGTAAACGGTCCAAGCACATCTACGTTCACATGTGTAGTGCTACAAAAACAGATCTACGTTCACATGTGTAGTGCTACAAAAACAGATCTACGTTCACATGTGTAGTGCTACAAAAACAGATCTACGTTCACATGTGTAGTGCTACAAAAACAGATCTACGTTCACATGTGTAGTGCTACAAAAACAGATCTACGTTCACATGTGTAGTGCTACAAAAACAGATCTACGTTCACATGGTAGTGCTACAAAAACACATCTACGTTCACATGTGTAGTGCTACAAAAACAGATCTACGTTCACATGTGTAGTGCTACAAAAACAGATCTACGTTCACATGTGTAGTGCTACAAAAACACATCTACGTTCACATGTGTAGAGCTACAAAAGTAGATCTACGTTTTTTACGTATTTTCAAATATAACAAAAAAAAGTAGATCAAAGTTTTTTTTACACATTTTCAAATTTAGAAAAACAAAAAGAAGATCTACTTTTTTTACATACTTTCAAATGTTGAAAAAACGTATATATACGTTTGGACCGTTTACGGGTTAAAGCTCTTGCCTCGCATGGTGAGGGGCCCGGCTTCAATTCCCAGCGAGGGTAGAAATATTGGGCATGTTTCTTTACAACAGTTGTCTATGTTCACCTAGCAGTAAAATAGGTACCTGGGTGTTAGGTGACTGGCGTGGGTTGCATCCTGGGACAAAATTGACCTAAATTGCGAGAAATGCTCTGCATAACAAGCACCTTTCTATATGCAGTAGTAGCATGTCACTAATGTCAGCTATGGTCTGTATACCTTGTACATATACTTGTAGAATTACAGATAATCATTAATAAGAGTTGGCAGCATCTTCCACGAGTCTAGCCCCCCAAGGGAGGTTCCTGGATGCTGGTGGCCCCCCAAGGGAGGTTCCTGGATGCTGGTGGCCCCCCAAGGGAGGTTCCTGGATGCTGGTGGCCCCAAGGGGGGTTTCCCTGGATGCTGGTGGCCCCCCAAGGGAGGTTCCTGGATGCTGGTGGCCCCCCAAGGGAGGTTCCTGGATGCTGGTGGCCCCCCAAGGGAGGTTCCTGGATGCTGGTGGCCCCCCAAGGGGGGTTTCCCTGGATGCTGGGCCCTCAAGGGGGGTTTCCTGGATGCTGGTGGTCCTCAAGGGAGGTTCCTGGATGCTGGGGGGCCCCTCAAGGAAAGGGTTCCTGGATGCTGGTGGCCCCTAAAGGGGAGGTTTCCTGGATGCTGGTGGCCCCTCAAGGGAGGTTCCTGGATGCTGGTGGCCCCTCAAGGGAGGTTCCTGGATGCTGGTGGCCCCTCAAGGGAGGTTCCTGGATGCTGGTGGCCCCTCAAGGGAGGTTCCTGGATGCTGGTGGCCCCTAAGGGAGGTTCCTGGATGCTGGGGGCCCCCTCAAGGGAGGTTCCTGGATGCTGGTTGGCCCTCAAGGGAGGTTCCTGGATGCTGGTGGCCCCTCAAGGGAGGTTTCCTGGATGCTGGTGGCCCTCAAGGGAGGTTCTGGATGCTGGTGGTCCCTCAAGGGAGGTTCCTGGATGCTGGTGGCCCCTCAAGGGAGGTTCCTGGATGCTGGTGGCCCCTCAAGGGAGGTTCCTGGATGCTGGTGGCCCCTCAAGGGAGGTTCCTGGATGCTGGTGGCCCCTCAAGGGAGGTTCCTGGATGCTGGTGGCCCCTTAAAGGGGGAGGTTCCTGGATGCTGGTGGCCCCCCAAGGGAGGTCCTGGATGCTGGTGGCCCCTCAAGGGAGGTTCCTGGATGCTGGTGGCCCCTCAAGGGAGGTTCCTGGATGCTGGTGGCCCCTCAAGGGAGGTTCCTGGATGCTGGGGGCCCCCTAAAGGGAGGTTCCTGGATGCTGGTGGCCCCTCAAGGGGGGTTTTCCTGGATGCTGGTGGCCCTCAAGGGAAAGGTTCCTGGATGCTGGTGGTCCCTCAAGGGAGGTTCCTGGATGCTGGTGGCCCCTCAAGGGAGGTTCCTGGTGAGGGACTCATGATCTAGGGAATTGAATCTGTGCTCCAACTCCCTGGATTAAGCCTGAATGCCTTCCATCCCTCCCCTCCCCCTCCTAAGGTTAGGATAGGTTAGGTAAAGTTAGGTAAACTTAGATTAGGTAAGGTTATGTTAGGTTAGGTAAGGTTAGGTTAGGTATGGTAAGATTTGTCAGGAAACAGGACAAGCGTTTCCTGGCGCAGGTCTTAGTCGTATGACCCAGCAGCTGAAGCTTTTGGTCATCTGACCGAGACCTTCTCCTGGCTTACCACTCCACCACTTTAAAAATTAGGGTTATATTAGTTCCTTCAAAACCATGGAAGAGATAATATGTCAGTTTTGCTTTACAGAAAATTTTTGAAAAGTTCGCCTCTGGTCTGCTCTGATGACCCGTACAGTAAATGAGGAGAATGTTGTATAATATAGTCAGTACACGTGTTTACTCGCCTATTTGTGGTTGCAGGGGGTCGAGTGTTAGCTCCTGGCCCTGCCTCTTGCTAGTGGCCAGGTTCACTCCTAAGCTCATGAGCCACACCGTACCTGCCTCCACTACCTCATGACCCTCGGGTTTACAGCGTGGTTATGATTATAATCCACTACTTCGACGTTGTTCCACTTTCCTGCCAAGCTGATGCTAAAAAAATAATTCCTAACATCCCTATGGGTCGTTAGAATAAATTCCATTAGCTGCTCCTCATGGCTCTTATCTCATAACTTACTAATAAGCCTCTTACATACTTCTGTACCTTATCCTAACATGTTTTTTCAGGAGTGGGTTCAATGCTGGTGCTGTGTACTCCAGTATGGGCCTGATGTACATGGTGTACAGTGTATTGAATGATTCCTTACTGAGGTATCGGAATGCTATTCTTAAGTTCGCCAGGCGCCCACATACTGCAGCAGTTTTCTGGTTGATGCGTGCCTCAGGAGATGTGCTCGGTGTTATACTCACCCCAAGATCCTTTTCCTTGAGTGAGGTTTGTGGTCTTTGTCCCACTTAGCCTGTACTCTGTCTGCAGTCTTCTTTGACCTTCCCCAATCTTCATGACTTTGCTCTTGGTAGGGTTGAACTCCAGGAGTCAGTTGTAGCCTGTCCAGATCCCTTTGTAGTCCTGTGTGTGTGTGTGTATGTGTGTGTACTCACCTATTTGTACTCACCTATTTGTGGTTGCAGGGGTCGAGTCCTAGCTCCTGGCCCCACCTCTTCACCGGTTGCTACTGGGTCCTCTCTCTCCCCGCTCTATGAGCTTTATCATACCTCGTCTTAAAACTGTGTATGGTTCCTGCCTCCACTACGTCATTTTCTAGGCTATTCCACTGCCTTACAACTCTATGACTGAAGAAATACTTCCTAATATCTCTCTGACTCATTTGTGTCTTCAACTTCCAATTGTGGCCTCTTGTTTCTGTGTCCCCTCCCTGGAACATCCTGTCTTTGTCCACCTTGTCTATTCCATGCAGTATTTTATATGTCGTTATCATGTCTCCCCTGACCCTCCTGCACTCTAGTGTCGTCAGGCCGATTTCCCTTAACCTTTCTTTATAAGACATTCCCCTTAGCTCTGGAACTAACCCTGTCGCAAACCTTTGTACTTTCTCTAGTTTCTTGACGTGCTTTATCAAGTGCGGGTTCCAAACAGGTGCTGCATACTCCAGTATGGGCCTGACGGTGTATAGTGTCTTGAACGATTCCTTATTAAGGTATCGGAACGCTGTTCTCAGGTTTTCCAGGCGCCCATATGCTGCAGCAGTTACCTGGTTGATGTGTGCTTCCGGAGACATGCTCGGTGTTATACTCACTCCAAGATCTTTCTCCTTGAGTGAGGTTTGCAGTCTTTGGCCACCTAGCCTATACTCTGTCTGAGGTCTTCTTTGCCCTTCCCCTATCTTCATGACTTTGCACTTGGCGGGATTAAATTCGAGAAGCCAGTGTGTGTGTGTGTATGTGTGTGTGTGTGTGTGTGTGTGTGTGTGTGTGTGTGTGTGTGTGTGTGTGTGTGTGTGTGTGTGTGTGTGTGTGTGTGTGTGTGTGTACGTGTGTGTACGCAGGAAAGATTGCACAGAAACTGCAATATACATATATTTTCCTCGTCATTTAGCTGACAGTTTTCCTCCTGACGTTGGTTAAGTGATTTAGTGAAGCTTGAAGCTTGAGTATACGCTTAAATCTCACTAAAACACTGCACATGACCAGCAGCACACTGACAGCAACAGCCCCAGGTCAGTATAGCGTGTCAGTGTACCAGGGACCAGCAATGTTAATATCTTATCACAACCGGTACATGATACAACTTATACAGACCATAGCTGACACCAATGACATACTGCTATATAGAAAGTCCCTTGTTATGCAGAGCATTTCCCGCAAACTAGGTCAAATTTGTCCCAGGATGCCACACACTCCAGTCACCTAACAACACCCAGGTGCCTACTTACTGCTAAGTGAACATGGACAGCAGGTGTTTTAAGGAAACACATCCTAATATTTTCCAGCCGTACCGGGGATCGATCCCGGACCTCAGTGTGTGAGCTGAGTGCGCTACCAATCAAGCTACGGGACACCTAGGCTATCAGGACACTCGAAAATAAGTCGCTCACTTTTTTTGTGTTACCCTGATGGGTAATTTACACGTTAAACTGTAATATTATCATGTATTTTTATCGCCTGCGTTCCAAGGAGTACAAGTCAAGGGACTTCAATCTTTCCCAGTAATTTAAGTGCTTTACTAATGATAATAATAATCATAATAGGTCTTAGTACAACACCACGTGAAGAGGTTGGAGAGCCAGTTGTCAACATGGCACGGATGCAGCTCCGTGTGACGCCCCTGGCACTCTACCTGCTGGCACTAGCTTGCTACAGCACCATCATGTTCCTCTCTACCCTGGACTCTGACCCTGCCCTCCTAGAGCCAGGTCACCTGGGTCATTACCACCAGGACACCCAGCACAGTGATCTACAGCAACTCAACTCCACTATACGTAACCTCAGAGCATTTAGAAGGTAAGGTTCTATTTACTGAGCACATTGAAGCTCTATACAATCATAGAGAAGCTCTATACATAGGTAAAACTCTATACAGCGATATTCAACACCTCAACTCAGTATTCATAATGTAAGACTCTCTTAAATGAGTTCAATACAGTCGTACTGACGCTCTATAGTCAATATGACGGTCTACAGAGTCGTAGTGACACTCTATGCAGAATCAGAGGGGGCATAAAAGGGGGGCATTGACCCCTGAAACCCTCTCCAGGTATACTCGTCAGTAACTAGTAACTCTGTCATGCTGTATATCATTTTTAAATTTAAATTTATCCATCCTGAATCCATTATTTCGTGTTTTTTTAAGTATTGTTGGTTTAACAGGAGGATGTCTCACTGGAGGCTGAGACAAGTGGAGGATTTCTACTCCAGAATGGAAATACAGGAGACCACCTGTAGTAAGATGATCTCCCTGGGAGGAACTTCTTGTAGGAGGTCAGTAAGTTCTTGTAGGAGGTTAGTAACTTCTTGTAGGAGGTTAGTAACTTCTTGTAGGAGGCCAGTAACTTCTTGTAGGAGGTTAGTAACTTCTTGTAGGAGGTCAGTAACTTCTTGAAGGTCAGTAACTTCTTGTAGGAGGTCAGTTATGTGTTGTGCAATATTCAGATATACAGTCTTGTGTGGCTGCTACTACTGCTACTACTACTACTACTACTACTACTACTACTACTACTACTACTACTACTACTACTACTACTACTACTACTGCTACTACTGCTACTACTACTACTACTACTACTACTACTGCTACTACTGCTACTACTACTACTACTACTACTACTACTACTGCTGCTGCTGCTGCTACTACTACTACTGCTGCTACTACTACTACTACTACTACTACTACTACTACTGTGCTACTACTACTACTACTACTATTACTACTACTGCTACTACTACTACTACTACTATTACTACTACTACTACTACTGCTATTACTACTACTACTACTGCTGCTGCTACTACTACTACTACTACTACTACTACTACTACTACTACTACTACTACTACTACTACTGCTGCTGCTGCTGCTGCTGCTGCTGCTGCTGCTACTACTACTACTACTACTACTACCACTACTGCTGCTGCTGCTGCTGCTGCTGCTGCTGCTGCTGCTGCTGCTGCTGCTACTACTACTACTACTACTACTACTACTACTACTACTACTACTACTACTACCACTACTGCTGCTGCTGCTGCTGCTGCTGCTGCTGCTGCTGCTGCTGCTACTACTACTACTACTACTACTGCTGCTGCTGCTGCTGCCGCTGCTGCTGCTGCTGCTGCTGCTGCTGCTGCTGCTGCTGCTGCTGCTGCTGCTGCTGCTACTGCTGCTACTACTACTACTACTACTACTACTACTACTACTACTACTACTACTACTACTACTACTACTACTGCTGCTGCTGCTGCTGCTGCTGCTGCTGCTACTACAAGGACGTGTTTTGTTAAGATATCTGATGTCCATGTTCATCTAGCAGTAAAATAGGTAGCTGGGTGTTAGTGGACTGGTGTGGGTCGCATCCTGGGACAAAATTGACCTAATTTGCAGGAAATGCTCAGCACAACAAGTGACTTTCTATATAGTTTTATGTCATAGATGTCAGCTATGCTCTGTATACCTTGTACATGTACAAAGTATACAGACTCACTTGCCATAGGCGCAAGTCCTCTCGTGAGTTATTTAGGGTCGTGCTATATTCCAACAGGGCTGTGGATAACGAGAAGTACGTGTGTCTGGACCAGGATGTGGCTATTACACCTGGTAACTGTACTGTCTACTCCTTCGGTATTGGTCACGATACCACTTTTGATGATCAGGTATGTATATCTTCCGTTTCACCTTTAAAGGACCTTCAATTATGTTCTTTTAAAGGAGGGGTAAGCCAGTGGAAGGTTTCCGTCAGATGACCATAAGGTGTAGTGTTGGGTTATTATGTGTCTATGACCAGCGTCAGGAAATACTTGTCCTGTTTCCTGACGAATCTTAGCTAACCTAATTTAATCTAACCTAATCTTCAACCTAACCTAACCCAGCCTAACCTAACCTAACCTAACCTAACCTAACCTAACCTAACCCAACCTAACCTAACCTAACCTTATCTAACCTAACCTTTATCAAGGACCCCAATATAAATATCAAGGACCACAGTGAAAATATAAAAAACCCAAATAGAAATATCAAGAACCCTAATGGAAATACGTCAATTTGACGTATTTTGGGTTATCCTTGAGGGTAATCTACACACATGGTACTATGTATGATAAGTTGTAAGTGTATTTATACGTAGCTATATCTGGATATATTGTAATGTATAAGCTTCTGGAGAGCGAAACGTTGCCACAATAACATGCCACATTAGTTGCACTTGTGTCCATTTATCTAACACACACTGTATCTAAAATCTTAGGTAAACAACTTCGGGTGTCAAGTATTTATGTTCGACCCCACAGTGAACCAGGATACCATCAGGAGAACCAATAACAAGAACCAACACTTCTACCTGCTCGGTCTAGACGCCAGTAACTATGTAAGTTACCCTCGTGAACCAGGCAAGTCTTAGACACGTCAGATGTTGAGATTGTCCTCAATTTCTCCTGTAGAGAAGCACACAGATAGAATAAGTATTGATTTAGAAAGACATGTCAGCAAACATTAGGATATTTATTAGTAAATATTACGGTCCTGGAGCCTTGATTACTTCCAACATACAGAAGTTGGTATAGGTAGGTTCACCAGGACGGGTCCTGGCCCGGGTCTTCTGCACGTTTCGATCTGTCATGGATTATCAGGTTGCTATTTGATATTGGTTGAGGGTGGGTAGAAACATCGCCTTTGGGTTATGGAGGAATCGTTTCTCCCATGATATTGTCATTTTCTGCAGGTTTATCGTGTGTTACAGTCAAGGTAAGTCCTACAGTATACCCAACATTTTTTTAGTTAATATGGAGTAAAGTCGCTTTTGGGTCCCCTCAGGGATTAGGGGCCCTTAAGCTTATGCTGCATAGTAGATCCATCCCTGACTGTGATTCTAATTCTAATTGGTGACAGAATCTAAGTGTGGATCTCAAGTACACTGACAACAAGACGGAGACCATTGTGGGAGAACTGGACACCTTTGATAGCATCAGGTCTCGCCTGGGTCACCAGCATCTACCAGTCCACTACCTTAAGGTAACTACTATTAGATGGGGACCACCACTGAGGTCTTAGGACCTCACCAAAGTCCCAAGACCAAACTGTCACCATTAATTAGTCTTTTCTGATATGTCTTTCTGCTAGTGTTAGAATCGTGCACTGTTAAAACAGCTCCATTGATTTGGTTAGCTAAGCTCTGTGTAGAGCTTTATCAAGTTGTTTCACTCTGTGTAGAGCTTCATCAAGTTTCACTCTGTGTAGAGCTTTATGCAGCCATATTCCACTCCTGACAATACCATTTCACAAGGACCCCAATGGAATTAGTAAGTTAAGGATCCCAGTGGAAATCAGTCATGGACCCCAGTGAAAATCAGTCATGGACCCCAGTGAAAATGAGTCACCTTGACTGACTTTCTTGGGTTATCCTGGCTGGTAATCTACACATATATTACTCTGTATGATAACCTGTGTACGTGTACGTAACAACGTATTCTCTCTGTTACCAGCTAGACATTGAAAACTCAGAGTGGAGAGTGTTACCATACATGCTGGAGAGAGGACTCCTACATAGTGTTAAACAACTGGCTATTGAAGTTCACACACTCGATATCATCAGTGCCCCTCAACACCGGGTAAGTATTGCACGATGCTTGTGCAATCTTTGTTGTCAAACGTTGTGGTTATGTAGTAGGTTTTAATAGTTGTGTGTGGAGGCTGTAGATGTGGTGACGACATGAGCAGTTGGGTGATGATGTTGTGGTCACTCCATTGATATTGTACTGGTTGCTTGGGGTGGTCAGTCCCTCAGCCTGGAGGTGAAGATGTTGTCGTCAGTCCATCGAGGATGAGGCAGTAGTTTGAGGTGGTCAGTCCCTCAGCCTGAAGATGTGTTCAGCTTCATAGTCTTGAACAATGTGACACACCATCAAGGTTGAGGGACTGACCACCTCAAGCTACTCCTTCAAGGTTGAGGGACTGACCACCTCAAGCTACTCCTTCAAGGTTGAGGGACTGACCACCTCAAGCTACTCCTTCAAGGTTGAGGGACTAATCACATCTTCACCACTCCATTGCATCTGCTGCCACCACATTTTCAACCTCTGTATTCAACTGATGAATATTGTGAGACATCCTGGTGATGTTAGCAGTAATAGTTAGTGGTTATAGTTAGAAGCAGTAATTAGTTATCATCTAATTACAGGGTAATTATCTGCAGCAACATGGCAGGGAGGCAGCCCAAGCTATAGCCTTGGGTTATGTATATATTCTTTTGTTTTAATATGTATAAATTGTTGTTTGTTGACAGGTGCTGGAGATGTTGGAGGGATACCTGCAGGTACTACAAATTGTTGTTTGTTGACAGGTGCTGGAGATGTTGGAGGGATACCTGCAGGTACTACAAATTGTTGTTTGTTGACAGGTGCTGGAGATGTTGGAGGGATACCTGCAGGTACTACAAATTGTTGTTTGTTGACAGGTGCTGGAGATGTTGGAGGGATACCTGCAGGTACTACAAGGACTCAGGAAGGAAGGATTCTTGAGAGTGTCGTACCGTCCTACCGTGGTTCTTGAGACGCTGTACCACGTCCCAGGCAAGAACCGTACCATACCTACTTGCTTCGAAGTCCTCTACTTACGTCGTGGTTCTGTCTCCTGAGGTGCCTACCTCGGGGAGATTGATGGTACCTACCTCCACACACACACAGACACACACACTTCAATGTTCGCTCAAGGAATAGTGCAGAGTGGTCACAAAATTTCACTATAATAAAATCTAATGTGTATGTATGTGTTTTTGTAAGACCCATCAAGCGTTTTAAAGACCCCTGAGGTGTTTTTAAAGACCCATCAGTGTTTTAAAGATCCATCAGGTATTATAAAGACCCCATCATTAGGTGTGGTCTTAGTTCTTGAGTAAACACCACCACCACCTATATAGGTGAGGGTGACCTTCTGGCAGGTGGTATGTGGGCGGCGCCACCCAGCTAGTTCCAGCCACTTACGTGGCTCAGGTGGGGCGGAGCAAGGCCATCTGGATCAGTCTGTCTACCACCACTCAGTGTCCAACTGATTGCCATCGACTGAGTGTACTCTGTGTCTATAGCGGTCGAGGTATAGCTCCTGGCCCTCTCTCAACTCTAGGGCCTTATCGTAGTTCCTATAAAGGTCGAAGCATAGCTTCCTGACCCTCCCTATTAACTCCAGGGGCTCTATCATAGCTACTATAGAGTCGAGGCATAGCTCCTGGTCCCATCAACACCAAGGCCTTATCGTAGCTACTCTTGAAGACGTGTATAGCCCGTATCTAAATTTTAGTGACTTCCAAATACCTTTCTGAGAGTGAAAACGTTGATTTTTTTAATGTTTATTGAGGTATATAACACAGCAACGTTCCATAGTTCCTGATAAGACTCTGATTGTCTTGTGGAAGCACTCACATATCTAGATTACTGTGTATGTAGTGGTGTGAGTGTTGCGTGTGTGTTGTGAAGCGGTTCTTACACCAGGAAGAAGCAACTTGGACTGCAACACAAGAAGGTAAGTCCACAGATTTAATGTTGTATTTCCGATGTTTATTACTTATCTGTACTGTGTGTGGTAGTTGCTACTAGGTAGAGTGTTTCACTACTAGGTAGACTGTACCACTACTAGGTAGAGTGTTCCACTACTGGGTAGACTGTACCACTACCAGGTAGAGTGTTCCACTACTAGGTAGAGTGTTCCACTACTGGGTAGACTGTACCACTACTAGGTAGAGTGTTTCACTACTAGGTAGAGTGTTCCACTACCAGGTAGAGTGTTCCACTACTAGGTAGAGTGTTCCACTACTAGGTAGACTGTTCCACTTGTCGACTCCCCTATTTCAAAACCAGTACCTTCCTATATCATCTCTAAATCTAAATTAACCCAATTTTAGTCCAATATTTTGAGTTGTTTCTTGAAGGGGATATGTTCAGGACGTTATTAATATCTCCTCACTAATGATGTGTAAAGCTGTAGTGAGCTTTCTCTCTCAGCTCTGTGGGAAGATTATGGGTCTTGTACGTGAGTTAATGGGGCTATCTACCCAATACCATTGATAATGGGTTGGGTAGATGTTTTTGTTACTGGGTTTGGGTTTGAGAAGGTCTTGCCTGGTAAGGGCCAGTAGGCCTGCTGCAGTGTTCCTCCTGGCTTATATTTCTGCAGCTGCAGATCAACATAGCCATCACATCCTGGTTGATCTGGTGAATCTAGTGTACAGGGCGACGTTAAGGACACCTCTCTCTCTCTCTCTCTCTCTCTCTCTCTCTCTCTCTCTCTCTCTCTCTCTCTCTCTCTCTCTCTCTCTCTCTCTCTCTCTCTTGCCACTAGCAGACAAAGGATCGAGCCTTCACGCCTCTAGTCCTGAGAGTGTTCAGTGTTTTGTAAACATTTTAATTAGCACGAAAACCTCACCCACTAGCTTTTATCATCCCTCGTACTGGCTAGTCACCATAACTAGCCTTGATTATCCATGGTCCCTTGATTATCCATGGTTTCTTGATGCCTAGCCTTGGTTATCCATGGACCCTTGATGCCTAGTGGGTGTGGTATTCTCCACAGTACCAAGACAGGTCACAACCTTGATATTTACTATAGTGATGTAATATTGCGGTCCTGTACTCACCTATTTGTGGTTACAGGGGTCGATTTCACAGCTTCTGGTCCCACCTGTTCACTGGTCACTACTAGGTCCACTCTCTCCCTGCTCCCGGTGGCCTGGTGGCTAAAGCTCTCGCTTCACACACGGAGGGCCCGGGTTCGATTCCCGGCGGGTGGAAACATTTCGACACGTTTCCTTACACCTATTGTCCTGTTCACCTAGCAGCAAACAGGTACCTGGGTGTTAGTCGACTGGTGTGGGTCGCATCCTGGGGGACAAGATTAAGGACCCCAATGGAAATAAGTTAGACAGTCCTCGATGACGCACTGACTTTCTTGGGTTATCCTGGGTGGCTAACCCTCCGGGGTTAAAAATCCGAACGAAATCTTATCTTATCTTATCTTATCACATCTCTGGAACATCCTGTCTCTGTCCACCTTGTCAATTCCTCTCGGTATTTTATATGTCGTTATCATATCCCCCCTGCCCCTCCTGTCCTCCAGTGTTGTCAGGTGTGTGTGTGTGTGGTCCAACTCAGTGGTATCGTGTGCATTTCACAATCAAAGGACCTGGGTTCAATCCAGTGGGTAATCCAGCCTGCTGTCACTGTTCACCTAGCAGTAAGTAGGTACCCGGTGGCATCCTGGGGAAGGACCTAAGGGCCACAATGACTATATGTAGACACCAGACGCAGTGAAGAGGTAGAGATGATGTGATCAAGTCCTCAGTCTTAAAGTAGTCGTTTTGAGGTGATCAGTCCCCCAGCCTGGAGGAGAATTCACCCTAGTTTGCTAAATATCAAATCACAAGGACCCCACTGAAAATCAAGGACCCCACTGAAAATCAAGGACCCACACTGAAAATCAAGGTCCCCACTTATAATCAAGGGCCCCATTGAAAAATCAAGGACCCACAATGAAACTAAAGGACCCCCACTGAAAATCAAGGACCCACACTGAAAATCAAGGACCCCATTTAAAATCAAGGACCCCCATTGAAAAATCAAGGACCCACACTTAAAATAAATGACCCCCACTGAAAATCAAGGACCCACACTTAAAATCAAGGTACCACACTGAAAATAAAGGACTAATTGAAAATCAAGGACCCATACTGAAAATCAAGGACCAAACTGAAAATCAAGGACCCCATTGAAAATCAACGTCCCACACTGAAAATCAAAGACCCACTGAAAATCAAAGACCCGCACCTGAAAATCAAGGACATTTACAATTGAAAATCAAGGGTCTTCCCATTTAAAATCAAGGGCGCCAATAAAAATCAAGGTACAAATAAAAATAAAGGACCCCAATAAAAATCAAGGATCCCAGTGAGAAATCAAGGACCCAAGTGAAATCAAGGACTCCTATTAAGAATCAGGGACCAAATGAAAATCAATGACCCCAATGAAAAAAATAGGAACCCCAAATGAAAATAAAGGACCCCCAGTGAGATCAAGGACCCCATGAAAAACAAGACCCCAATGAAAATCAAGGACTCAAGTAAAAAATCATGGGCCCCATGAAATCAAGAACCTCCAACGAAAACCCCCCAGTGAAAATCAAGGACCTCCCATTAATATCAAGGACACCAATGAAAATTAAGAGCCAAATTAAAAAATGAAAAGCAAGGACCCACTTGAAAATCGAGGGCATAATTATAATAGTGCAATGAAATTCAAGGACCCAATAAAAATCAAGGACTTCAATGAAAATCAAGGTCCCAATAAAAATCAAGGACGTCAATGAAAATCAAGGACTTCACTGAAAATCAAGGACTTCACTGAAAATCAATGACCCCAATGAAAAATCAAAGACGCCAATTAAAATCAAGGACACCAATAAAAAATCAAAGACACCAGTTAAAATCAATGACACCAATGAAAATCAAGAACCCAAATGAAAATCAGTGACCCCAATGTAAATCAATGTTCCTAGTTAAAATAAAGGAAAGCCCATGTAAATCAAGGACCCCCGTGTAAATCAAGGACCCCATGTAAATCAAGGACTCAAAATCAAGGACCCCAGTGGAAATAAGTCACGAACTTTTTTGTGTCACCCTGTTGAGTAATTTACATTCACGTCACTAAGTATGATAATTGTACCTATGTACCTGATAATTGTACCTATGTACCTGTACCTAAATATCCTTACAAAGAAACTACTATCTTTAATTTTGTTCGCAGAATGCCACCCACACCAGTCACCTAACACCCAGGTACCTACTTACTGCTAGGTGAACAGTGACAGCAGGTGTTAGTAGACTAACATCCGGGTACCTACTGACTGCTAGGTGAACAGTGACAGCAGGTGTTAGTAGACTAACACCAGGTACCTACTGACTGCTAGGTGAACAGTGACAGCAGGTGTTAGTAGACTAACACCAGGTACCTACTGACTGCTAGGTGAACAGTGACAGCAGGTGTTAGTAGACTAACACCAGGTACCTACTGACTGCTAGGTGAACAGTGACAGCAGGTGTTAGTAGACTAACACCAGGTACCTACTGACTGCTAGGTGAACAGTGACAGCAGGTGTTAGTAGACTAACACCCAGGTACCTACTTAGTGCTAGGTGAACAGTGACAGCAAGTGTTAGTAGACCAACACCCAGGTACCCACTTAGTGCTAGGTGAACAGTGACAGCAAGTGTTAGTAGACTAACACCCAGGTACCCACTTAGTGCTAGGTGAACAGTGACAGCAAGTGTTAGTAGACCAACACCCAGGTACCTACTGACTGCTAGGTGAACAGTGACAGCAGGTGTTAGTAGACTAACACCAGGTACCTACTGACTGTTAGGTGAACAGTGACAGCAGGTGTTAGTAGACCAACACCCAGGTACCTACTGACTGCTAGGTGAACAGTGACAGCAGGTGTAAGGTGACTAACACCCGGGTACCTACCTACTACTAGATGAACAGTGACAGCAGGTATCTTAAGGTAAAACGCCCCAATATTTTCACCCGTACCGGGGATCGAACTCTGGAGCTCAGTGTGAGAGGCGAGTGCGCCACCAACCCACCTACGGGACACCTATTACACATATAAAGCAACATTCCTGTTTCAGATCCCGTAGTGAGCCACTGTTTCGAAAGCTCCGTCTCCAAGGTCTTCCACTGGTCTAGTCATGTATTTCCCGGACCTTTTCAAAGGACCCCAATGGAAATAAGTCACTATGACTTTTTTGAGTTGTCCTGGGTTCTCTACACATAAGATTTTCTTCGGATTTTTAACCCTGGAGGGTCAGCCAGCCAGGATAACCCAAGAAAGTCAGTGGGTCATCCAGGACTGTCTAACTTATTTCCATTGTGATCCTCAATCTTGTCCCCCAGGATGCCACCCACACCAGTCCACTAACACCCAGGTACCTATTTGCTGCTAGGTGAACAGGACAACAGGTGTAAGGAAACGCGCCGAAATGTTTCCATCTGCCGGGAATCGAACCCGGGCCCTCCGTGTGTGAAACGATAGCTTCAGCCACCAGACCACCGGGGCACACATATGCTACTATGTATGATAATCTATGTAACTGATTTGTGTATAAACTTACATAATAATTTAACAAATAACTCACAATTTACAGCACAAATTTCATGTGGCATTACGGTCCTTCCTGGATCATTATTAAGTTGTTCATGGTAAGACCTTTTGTTGAGTGCTATTATCACGGTCGTTAAGTAAATTATGTTATATAGGTTTCCCGGTTTGGGTTGTTAGGTTTAAAATCTATCTTACCACACCAGGGTCATTATGACTGCATGTCAAGTCTATCTGCTACACCAGGGTCATTATGACTGCATGTCAAGTCTGTCTGCTACACCAGGGTCATTATGACTGCATGTCAAGTCTGTCTGCTAAACCAGGGTCATTATGACTGCATGTCAAGTCTATCTGCTACACCAGGGTCATTAT